GAATCTTGAATTAACCTCTTCACTCCCGATTAGAATAGCGATTTATAACTTTGCCGGCATCTCTTTAATGTCCTGAATCAGTTCCACCAGCTCATTGAAGTGCCCTACCATTTGGGTTGAATTATAATGGCACGTTTGAGTTATGCAACAATTTCAAGTAAGCAAAAGCAGGTTTGAAGTCTGAAATAATTAAAAGTATTTTAGCACATCAAATATTGTATTAATAGTGTTCTCTGGTTCCTTTTTTTTTTTTTTTTAAATCACATTTTGAAAGTTTTGTGTTTCCCATAGTTTGTCCTTTGGTGCAATTTCTTTCCTTCTTTCTTTCTTTCTTTCTTTCTTTCTTTCTTTCTTTCTTTCTTTCTTTCTTTCTTTCTTTCTTTCTTTCTTTCTTTCTTTCTTTCTTTCTCTCTCTCTCTCTCTCTCTCTCTCTCTCTCTTTCTCTCTCTCTCTCTCTTTCTTTCTTTCTTTCTTTCTTCTTTCTTTCCTCTTTTCAACTATACACTTTAAAAGTACTTTGCCTTTGTTTTGGACCTATTTAATATGGAGTTATTTTCATAATCACAGTTTTTCATTTATAACTTGATAAATGAAATTTCATTACCATAGTTCTATTTTTACATATTTTAAGACATACTATATTTGTATACTAAAACAAGATGTTTCTTGATGATAACTTTTATTTTGGACTTACAAAGTTAGGACAATCAGCTAATATATGTCTCTGCCCAAAGAGGAAGCATAAACCAAATACTTTATGCAAAAATGTAAAATGCAGTATTGTTTCTAACCTCATAACTGTCATCACAATAAAAACAAAATATACCACAGAAAGAATATACTTATTTTGAAGCATTTATACTGCACTTAATTCAAAAATAAAGTGTAGGGGAGGAAAAATCATTTTACCTCTACCTTTCTCTGTTCTTGGCTGAGACCACCCCTGACCCCCACCCTTGTAATGGAAAACAGATTAACAGGATAAAAAGAAACACAAGTTTAATAACATATATGTCTTCAATATATATGGAAGACTCAGGAAAACTGAATAACTCACTCCCTGAGTTGGCCCAAGCCACCACCTTAAATACAGACCTCCAGCTAAAGACAAAAGAAGATACTGGGGTGTGGGGAAGCCAGTTGTGGGAGGTTATAAGGAAAAGCACAGGTGGGTAGCTTTCCCAATGATATCAGTTTGTAGAGATTTAGAATCATTCTTCTCTTTCTGGTACAGAGAACAGACACCCTTACAAAGGGAGATTTCCCTTACAAATGGAAATGTCTTTTACAATAGGGTAAAGTCTTCTCAGTTTTCAGAGCTTTTCCTATATCAGCCATTTCTTCAAAACAATCAGCCTAAAATAATCCTTATGCCAAAGAGAAATCATTTAGGGTGGCAAATTGTGTTCCCCCTCAAAAGTTACAGACCACTCAAACTCTATACTACCAATGGTCAGGTATTTCAACATACCAAGAATAAAATATTCTAATCAACTGTAGTTATACTCCATAAAGAGACAAAAGCTTAAAAAAGGGAAACTACTGAAAATGCAATTTAAGAATGTAACAGATGAAGGAGTAAAAAAGAAAAGAACTTCTCATTTCATACTAAGAAATCTAGATATGCTATGATTCACTACATTTATCTGTTAATTAATTCACCAAATATTGAATGCCTCTGTGTTTCAAGCACCATATTAAGGATTCAGTCATGAGTAAAACACACTATTGGCTCTCAAGAAACTGACAGTGGAGAACATGACAGTCTGTATATCCATCACATTCTATCTAAAGCCCTTTTATCTAAAACACTTAGAAAGGTTAAATGAAGACAAGTCAATTCAATGAGTTCTCAGTTAAACAATATTCCAATAAATATACCTGGCATCCATTCTGATTGGTCACTGCCTCTGTTCTGATTAGTCCCAAAGCTGAACCATTCCTTAAATATTTTTAATATTATACCTGTTATACACAATAGAAACTTGAATCATTTGGGATTTCTTCTGTGGACCCTGAGAAGAAAGGCTCATTTAATCTGCTAAGATGTACTCCCCATGGTCAACTGAAGGCCCAAATTTTATGAATAACAACAGTCTAGTGGCCATTTGCTCACAGGGGCTCCTCATGTACTCTGTATACCTGGGGGAACCTCAGGCTGAACTCTTGGCTTACTATGCTATGCCCTGCTTGGTTAAGCTGTCTGAGTCAACCACCTCAAGGAAACCTTGGTTTCCTCTTTCTGCCTAGGTACTGAGGCCTATCGCTTTCAATCAGAACTACACAATTGGAATACCTTAGTTACATAAAATAGACCCGATCAAAAACCTGGGCACAAACTTTTGTATAAAAGGTGGCCTTCCCTTTGTCTCTGTGGAACACAGTTTAAGTCGCTGTCTCAATCTATGTCTCCTGGGCTGCAGCTCCTTTTTGCTTAAATAAATACTTTTTATTCTCTATTACAGTTCAAAGTTAATTTTGGTTTACAGTTCAAACATTTTTTAAAAATGTACTTACCACATATGTTCCATTCTAACTAAAAACTAATACATAATTAAACAAACAAAAAATAAGAAAAAATACATTGAAGGGTTTTTGAGAAATGTTTTTTATTTTTTGAGAAAAAGAAAGAGAAATGTGAGTAGAAAGCCTCAACTATTTTTGGCCTGGCCTCGATATTATTGTGTTACGAAGTGATGCTTACAGGTAAAACAGCCTTGCAATTAAAAAGGAAAGCTAATGTCAGAGGTGTTTGAGCAGGGTCCCTGAAAATTCGAGCTACTTAATTACCCACCTGGGATGGGCAACCTTGGAATTTCTTACATAAGCTATGTTAATAACTCTCCCTGTTTAATCTACTTTTATTTTGGGAATCTGTTACTTGCAGTCAAAGTCATCTGAACTGAAATAACATATTTAGAGGAAGTGGGGTGACTTTTGTTTCATAGGAATAAAAACGGAATGACTATACTTATATTCCAAAGAAAGGATTTTGTAATATGTATTTAATTCATGCAGGTTTTCAAATCATAAAACTTCTTGGGAGGCATATTAAACTCTATAAAACCTAGATTCTAGAATTAAGTATTATTTCTTGGATAAACAGCCCTCTTCCATGCACTCTTGTATTTCAGAAGTTTATCTGACTTTGATAGCTCACTTCAGGTGACTCAGCTTCTGGCTTCAGAGTCAGTGGTGTGTGGTCTATAGTCATACCATACAGTTTGATCCACCACAACATAAAACACTCAATAGAGATATAGGCCAACACATTCAAGCGAGTACCCAAGCCAGAAGCCAAACTTTCCGTATCCATGTGTAATTGTCATTGATTTTAAATATGTATTTGAGAGAAAAGAAAAAGGCCTATTGGGCAAATTAGAGCCTATCAAACTTTAGCTCACTAACTGTATCATAATCATTTTCACATCATATAAGTAAAAACTCAGCCAAAGGGAAGGGTCTGGAAAAAGGGGCGTTCTATTTCCAGGGAACGTTTATCTTCTAGCCTACAGACTCCCTTTGCTATAGTACAATTAGTTCCAGTTCATGTGAAGACAGTGATATACAAGAATATATATATATATATATATAAAATTGGGAAATCTAAACAAGTAATGTCATGTAGTTTATTGCAAAATTATTGGGATTTAGGGGTTTTTGAAAGATTCCTTGAGCCCAGTGAGCATGAATCAGTAGTTGAGCATCTGCCTATGATCCAGGAGATCCTGGTTAGATTCTGGGTCAGGGCACATGCCTGGGTTGCAGGCTCGATCCCCAGTAGGGGCCGTGCAGGAGGCAGCCGATCAATGACTCATCATTAATGTTTCTATCTCTCTCTCTCCCTCTCCCTTCCTCTCTTTGAAATCAATAAAGACATATGACAAAAAAACAACAACGATACCTTGATTTCCAAAGCGCAGAAAAAAATTACACAGATATCCTCAATAAAAATAAGAAACAAAAAAAGCTGTGTGTATGTGTGTGAATGATCCTCATTTATTATAGTTTTTACTGAATAGTTGGATAGAGCATAATAAAGATGCATGAAAGTGGAAAAGGAACCTATGTTGCTTTAGCATAATAGATAAAACATGAAGTATGTTTCAAGGAAAAAAACCAAGTCACACTGGAAATGCCTTAAATGTCTGCATATGCAGTGATTCAGCAAGGCCCAACGCGCTAATGACGGCCCAGTGCCGCATGCCACAATGCTGCAAAGCAAAGCCATTCCTTTACGGTCCCCTATCCAAGTCCATTAAGAAATAATGGTTCTAAGATGAAAGTCTTGTTAGGGTTTCAATGAAAAAGTTTGGCACACCATGATGAAAAGTCAACAATCTGCTTTTTAACGAGAGACACTGGAAAAACTTTGGTTAACATACCACTGAAAATATTAATTCTCCTTAATGGCAGGATGCAACATAGCTTTTTATAGTTTTTGATCCGTGTCATAAATTTGGCTATGACAAAGGGGATACTCCGGCTTTAACTCACTGGCAAGAGTATTAGCTATTTTCCAGGCCTAAACGGTTTGGCCCTTGGTATTTTTTTTTTTTTGTAATGTGCACCAAAGGGCCAGATTTCTATTCTCAGAGGGGTAGGCTGTGTGCGTGCGTGTGCAGCCATGCACAGGCATGCGAGTGCATGTGTGAGTGTGTCGTCAGTGTATGTGTGTTAGCAGTATGAATAGGTTTTTGGGGTTTTTTTTGAGCGTTTGGAGAGAGAAAATAAAGAAAAATGTTACAAGTCCCTAGTCCTGGTATCACTGCCAGAATTCTGGAATTTGCAAAGTTGAGTCAATGAGAAAGATAACAGCCTTACAAACCACGATAACTCCATCACCGTATGCCTGCTAATATGCTGCCCATTTCAACTGGACCTGTTCGAGAAAGCATATTTTCCTCATGCCTTTTCCCTCAGCATGAATATAAATTTTCAGATTTTAAAGATGAGAGAGCAACAAGGTGAGAGCAATGAATTTTGGCTTCACAACTTACATTTCAAAGCAGTGTTTTTCTTGTTCAAAATCCTCAAGTAGTATCTTCTCTCCCTAAAATAGAAATACATATGTGATAAATATAACTCCAGTGCCAGACCATAACATTTTATACCGAACGACTTCTTTCAACTCTGCCAATGACTCTTTGTTTTTCTTCAACGCTATTGAAAGGGAAAGGATTTTTTAAATTAGAAAACCACAGTGATATTTACTAGAGGAATAATTCTTGGTTGCTATGTGATAGAAGGACGTACACCAGGTACTGGAATAACATCATTTAGTTCAATGTTGTTTTGTTATAATGATGGGGGGGGTTGGGCATTGACTCCCAGCCAGGGCCCCCATATCTGTGGAGTTTATACATTTTACCCATGTCTGGCTGGGCTTTCTCTGGGGACTCTGGTTCCCTCCCACATCCCAAAGATGTGCACTGAGGGGAACTGGCCTGTCCACATTGTCCCAGTGTGGGTGGGTGTGACTCACCTTTCACCTGGGCTGCCAGGATAGGCTCCAGGAACAAGAGACTGTGATCTGAAATCAGCAGGTTGGAAAAGAAGGATCTGACTTGTTTTTATTCATCTTTCTTAAATGTATGTGTCGCTCACCTTTATTTCAATGTAAGCTTAGAAGGGTTTTAGGTCTTTATTTAGAAGTTTGGTGATGTTTTGTGACCAGTAATATGCTGTAGGAACTTAACTCTAGTATACATCCACTAGCCTCTGGTAAAATTTGGGTTCATTCTACGTCACTGCTTAAAGTCACAGCTTCCAAGAACCTATCAACAGCATTAAGTGAGGACTTACAGTTAATCGTAATCACGTTTCAAGTTTATTCCAGATTGTTTGCATTCTTCTTCAACAACGGCAACAACAAAACCTCATAAATTTCAAATATGTTAATAGATTTCTGTTTCAATAAGTTTCATTGTGGATTCAATGTCTTAGAGCAATAAATGAAGAAAAAATGAAATGTGAACTTCATATACAGGAGAAATATAAAATAGCTTCCCACAAGAACATCTTAAATATTTTTTTGTATGAATAGGAACATGAACTATATGTGGTTAATTATACTTTAATGCTGCTTCCTTATACAAGCAGCTCTTCAACTTCCTAAGCATAAGGACACTTAGTGGATGTGGGGTTAGGGGACCTGTTAAACCAAAAATTTTAGGCTAAAGGAAATTCTAATTCAGTAGGTCTAGGGTGGGGTCCAGGAACCTACATTTTAAACAACCTTCTCTCTCTTTGATACTAATGTCAGCGGTTATTTCCTCAGCTTTGAGAAAACACCATTTTATAACCTATGACTAATTAAATTTTGCACAAAGTCTGTTATTCTTATTCAGGTACCTATTCTATTGGTTTTGCTGTTAAGGGAATAACTTCATACTTACCCTCCAATAAAGTGTATTCCTTCAAAAGAAGAGCCCTTGCCAATGCAAGTGCTCCCATGTTGGCTTAGCACACACATGAAAGGAATGTTAAAAGATAATATTAGTATCAGGGCAATGATTAAATCAAGCTAACTTCAAGGTCGCTTCCAACCCTGACCTTTTCGTCATGAGTCCTGTAATGGTCAGTGTTCTTATTTAAAAAAAATCATGAGTCTGAAAAGGGAAAAGGGACAATAAAGCATTAAGTTGTCTGTTCATTTTCTTCGTATTTTTTAAACAAAATTTGATGGAGAACTAACATCATACACCTTGTTTTTGTGGCCTCTGGTTGCACTGAGTTGAAATAATCTTACTCTTCAGTCAATGGATTTTATTTTATTTTTATTTTTTGGTTTATATGTACTCTTGTGAAATATGTCCTTTTTTTAAGGCGCACTTGTGTTTAGTTTAGATCCATAGTACTGTGTGATATATCACATTCTCTTCTGTGCCTTTTATTGACCATTATGTCTTTAAGGTCAATTTACATTGCAGAGAGTAATCTAATGCACAGACTGACTGCTCGACAGCTCAGGTTGTGCGTCCTTCCAGGTTGTACCCATCCATGTCCCAGCTTGCCTCCAAATCCCTCCATGAAAAAGATGCTGCAGCGGATACCCTCTTTCATGTCCTTTGATGGGCTTGCACACATCAACTTCAAGGCAGATGCTACTGATTTATATTTTAAAACAAACTTTAGCAACAGGAATCTATTGCGGTTTCAAAATTTCTGTCATTTATTTGGTAACCTTAGGACACTGAAAAAAATCTATTTATAATAACTCATAAGCTGTATAGTTCACTACATGAAATAATTGTTATAATTCACCCTTTCTCCCCGGTAATGTTCTCTAGAATGATACACTGACTTAAACAAAAAGGAAAGGAGAAAAGTGGGGGAAAGAAACTATTCTCTCTTTATGGCTTTCAAGGAAAGAGAAATAAACCCTACCTCCCCCAAAACCTACTTAGAGTCATGTGACTAAAAACATAGACTTTTTCACCTGTGATTATCGATCCAGATATAAAATTAGTCCAAATATATGCAATGGTCTCAATAAAATATAATGAATAATTGAATTCTTTCGAAAAAAATTTTATAGCTTTAGCAATTTTTGAATTTTATGTCTAAGTACTAGTATTTTAGATTCATATACTGTTTAATAAGACATATGTTTAATAGATTAGTCTGTTGTATCCATATTTATTGAATAAACTTTCACATCCTAGCATTTGATGAAGTGTTACTGTAATTTGACTTGTTTATCTGGTTCTTCTCTCTTTATATTTAGAATTATCCTGGCAGTAAATACACAAAAGCTACTATGCAAAGATCAGCAAATATCTTTAAAAACTTAACAGCAATTTAAAGGAACGTTCAGAGCACATATTAAAGCTCCTTCCACAGCCCCCTGAAAACATAATCCATGTGGCCATTTCTGTTCTTGATTTGATTTCTGCGCACTTTTAACTGTTGAACGTCCGGAAGAATGGCTCGAATAGCATGTGCCAATAAGATGAGATTTCACATAATATATTTTAAACACATCAGCAGAGGTGCTTTTATTGATTAAGCATCTCAATAAAGTAGGAGGGGGAAAACCCTTTTTAGTGGAAGCAAAGATGTAAAAAAGCTCATAGGAAGTCATTGTGGAAATGAAATTTGAGAGTAGATGAAGCTGAAAGGGTACCTCAGCCCCTGAGTTTGATGTGCACTTAGGAAATTCCCTGGGTTAACCCTAAGTGCATGGCATTTCTTTTTCACTGGGTTGTGCACAAGCTGACTGTAGGGCAGGACAGACTTAACTCAAAGGTGTTGTGCCCCCTGTAGCTAACCATTAAGAGAAGGCTTTAAAAGTTATCAAATACAGTGGATATTTTTCACTTCATTCTCATGATCCTCTGAGATGGGTGAATTCACCACATTTTACTGATAAGGAAACTAAAGTTTGAAGAGGAGGAAAGTCCCTGTGGTTATAGTTAATATCATGATGCTCTTGAATATTCCACCATGCAGAACATCCCCTTTTGAGTCTGCTCCCTTACTCATGGGCAAAACCCTAAGTGTCTTTTGAATCTTAGGAACCTCAAAAGTAAGTTTCACTTGAGGAATTTGTATTAAAAAAAAGTCAGGAATCACAAAGAAAAACAATATTTTATTGGCTTATTCAAAAAACACAATAGTTATTTTCAAAAGGAAATAACAGATAAACATTGTTTATATAAGGGTAATTCAGAATTACTTGGCTGCGCTCGCGTTTGTTGATAAAGCTGAAATGAACTTTCACTTAGATATACTTTGAAGCCCGGTTTCTGGCCCGGTTCCAAGGGTGGAGTGAAGGAGAAATCTGTCAGCAGTCAGTCCCGATTGTATTCAGAGTCCTACGCCGAGTACAGAAGACACATTTCCTTCCTTGCACAGATCCAAAGAAAGGCAAGGCCTGTGCCTGCTGTTTGTAACACCTTTCAAATGTTCTTTTCCTTTCTGATAGCCAGGCAGGAGGAACGAGAGCTGTGATAGCGCTACTTAAAGACCTTTTCATTATTGTATTATATACATTGATACTAACTTGATACCCATGTCCTTAGGCCAGGGTGTCTGTCACCCTCATCATTCTCAGTGTCATTTCTAGAGACTCATTAGTTTTTGACAAACCAGGTTTTAAACACACCATGTAGATGTGTAAACCTTACACAAGGGTCTGTCCAAAATCCATTTTTCCATTAGTTTCTTGACATAGCCCCATAGTGCTAGCATTTCATTCATATTCAACAGAAATTTGGATATCCATATAGCTTTAAGATAGGCATAATGAATCTCTAAGAAAAAGATAAGAAATATATAGCATTTCTCAAATATATTTGATTTCAGGAGGCTAGTGGCCACTTATTTTGTTTTGTCTCAGAAATTAGCCTCATTTGGGTGATATGAGGAAGCTAACCAATGAATAAACTAAAGTGGAATATTAATCTGATTTCTACAGTGGTTCTCAGTCTTGGTTGCATAATAGAATCATCTGGCAAGCTTTAAAAATACTAATTGTCAGACCCTGGTACTGCCAGAGTTGAGAATTATTGAGCTAAGCAATCATTTTTATTAAAAAGTAAAAAAAATGTAGGCATATAATTTCAAAACATGGGAATTTATTTACCTAGTGAGAGAGAGGGCTGTTGGTCTTCCTTGTTTTCAAACTTCATGTGCAGGCATAGGGTAGTATATCTTAGGTTAATCCTTCATAATCTTACTCACCAAAGTGTGGTTCAAAGGTGTAGAAGCTCGTTAGAAACGAATAACCTTAGACTCCTTCTGAGAGCCACTGGATTGTAAGGTGTCTTTTAACAAGACTTCCCTGAGAGGTTGGCATGCACATTTAAGATTGGGAAAAACTGATATATAATTTCAGCTAAAGGAAACTATTTTAAAGTTAGGAATTCATCAGTTTTGTGATTCAATTTTATACTGGAAAATGAAATGAGAACTATATTAAGAAAGGGACAAGGGGATATTACCCCTCAAATTTATAATGTGCCAGATGACAACTAAGTGGAGAACATTCTTTTTTAAAAATATATATATATTAAACATTCTTTTTTAAAAT